ACCTCCACATGCGCAGCATGCCACGGACCATTCCCCATGGGCTCTTCCTTTGTCTCTGCCCTCGGCAAGTCCTTCCACAACAGGTACACCTTCCCCTTCCCCCCCTCCCTCCCTCCCCCCTCATTCCCCCCGCACAGGTGCTTTGTCTGCTCGCAGTGCAGGCGGGTGCTTGGATCGTCGACGTTCGTGGAGAAGGACGGGGCGGTGTTCTGCACAGAGTGCAAGAACCCATCGGCTACCCATCAGGGCCTCTGTGCTGGCTGTGACCTCCCGCTTGGCTCTGGACGCATCCTCACTGCCTGTGGGAGCAAGTATCATCCGCATTGCCTCGTCTGCGCCCGTTGCAGGGGCCCACTGCCTTCTCTTACCTCTTTCATCATCTTCGACAACAAGCCCCTCTGTGGCGAAGCTTGCGCCATCGCCTTGGCCACCGGCGATGTCTCCCGCCCGGTTTCGGTCCTCTCTGCTACTCCCATTGCTGGTGGCGGTGGTGAAGGCCAATCATCGTCTAACGCACTCGACTCGCTTCTCAACGATCTCTCGCAGCCGGCTGGCGGCGGAGACACCGGCGGTGCCCCCGCCCAGCAGCCCGCTTCCCAGCAGGGCTCCGAGCTCGACGGCCTGCTGGAGCAGCTCGACGGGACCGAGAACCGCGATCGCTCCGAGTCGTCTGCTCTTGACATGCTGATGGCTCGGCTCGACGGCGGCACCGGCGATGCACAGTCTGCACCCGCTAGTCAGCCTGCTGCCGCCGCCCAACCAGCCAGCACCACCTCGGGCAGCGCGCTGGACGATCTGCTGGGTGAACTCGAAACCGAGCCCGCGGCGGGAGCAGCAGCCCAGCCCCAGCCGGTGGCGGCGCAGCCTCAGCCTGCGCGCAACCACACCGAGTCCGAGGCCTTTGACATGGACGACCTTCTCGCTGAGCTCGAGCCCGAGGCGGCAGGAGGCGGTCAGTCGCAGGCGGCCGACATCGGCGGCGGCGTCACCCAGAGCGAGTTGGACGATCTCGATGCGCTGCTGACCCAGCTGACGTGATAAACAGTGTTCCCTTTCGTTGCTCATGGAACGCACACTTACGCCACAGAGCCGGGTCCATCTGCTTCCGACGCGCCCGGGGCGTCGCCGGCTGAGCCAGGCTCGGGTGCTGCCCGCTTGTAGGCGATGAGGGCAGTCTCCAGCGCAACACGCTGGGTAAAGAGCTGCCACGGAAACAGCTCGGGCGCGCAAATACGGGCAACATGGTCAACAGCGCTGGCCGAGACGCCTTCCGGGATCGGCGGCGGTGGCGCGTCGTCGTCGTCGTCGTCGCCGAGCGGTGTTGTCGCCTCGGCGGCGGCGGCGGCGACCGACCACGCGTAGACAACGAGGCGGAGGTCGAGCGGGAGGCGGGCGAGGGAGGCGAGCTCCGGGTCATCTGAAGTGCCGAGGCGCAGGCCGGCCTCGGCGGCCGCCAAGTGTGAGACCGCAGCGTGGACCGGATGCGCCATGTACTTGCCGATCATCGAGTCCCAGAGAATCTTCTTGGGCGGGTCTGCGAGCGGGTTGCCGTTGAAAAGAACCTCGTCTTCGATGGCGGTGGCGGCGGCGTCAAAAGCGGCGTACTCGGTCGGCAGCGAGACGATGCGGTTGCGCTCGAGGTTGAGGACCGCAAGCTGGGTGAGGCTGAGAATCTCCGGCGGGAAGACAGCGAGCGCGTTGTCGGCCAGATCGAGCGAGGTAAGCGAGGTGAGGCCCGCGGCCAAGGAGCCAGCGCAAGTTACCAGCGCGTTGTCCGACGCGTCGAGGTGGGTGAGCGAGGCGAGGTGCGCGATGGGCGCCGGAAGGGCGACAAAGGCGTTCTTGTTGAGGTTGAGCAGCTCGAGCCGGGTGCAAGCCGCGAGCGATGACGGCAGATCGGCCAGCGCGTTACCCTGTACATTGAGCTGGACCAGGGCGCCGAGCGCACCGATGGCCGGAGGGAGGACCGTGATGGCGTTGTATGATACGTCGAGAAAGGTGAGCGAGGCGAGCGAGCAGACAGCAGCCGGGAGGGCTGAGAGCCTGTTGAGGGCGACGGTGAGGGCAACAAGGCCCGACATGTTGCCAATGGCCTCGGGGAGGGCAATGAGAAAGTTCTCCCGCAGATCCAGCGCCACCACGTCCGATCGCAGCGTCTCCCTCACCGGCAGGACGTGTAGGTTCTTGTTGGCCAGCACCAGCTCCTTGGCCTTGCCGCTCTCGGCGGGTGCTCTGCTCTTGCGCATGGGCACGAGTGTGGGTGAGGTGAGGGGGGGGGGGGGGGGGGGGCGACGCGGCGTGAGAGAGGTGTGGTGGTGGTGGTGGTTGGTTGGGACTGGTGCTGGTGCTGGCGACTGGTGACTGGGGACTGGGGGCAAGGAGTTTGGTGTGGCCACACGCCGACATGGGCATGTCACTGTCCCCCCCCTTCCCCCCTCCCTCCGCCCCCACCTCTCAATTGACTCTCAATGACATTACCGTTCGCCTCGCCACGATTAATTCTCAATGGAATTATCA